TGAACTTTGAAGGGAAGCGCTCAAAAAAGAAACAATATGAAGTACACCTGCACTACATCACCAGGAGGATTGAAGAACACTAGATGTAATAATGTTCTGTAGGAGAGAAACACATAGCACATTATTGCTGCAGAGACTGAGCAGAGACAAGCCTCAGTGCGCTCTGTCTTCTCCATATAGTTCACATTCAGATGGGCGTCAGTGAATATAGCTGAGCCAGTCTCAAATCTGCTTTGCTCTTTCTTGAGGGAATTCATCAAAACTCAGTGAACTTTGACAATCCTCCTCAATCCTCTCCCCACTGCCAAACCCAGTCTGTGATGGGAGGAGTGGAAGGAGCTATTTTTAGACCAACAGAGCAGCAAAAAAACCCTGTAAAAATGAGGCTCTAATATCTGTTCCTTTTCTCTCTCCCCTTCGGTACCTCTGTTTCTGTTATACTAACTCACCTTATCACCGTATCTTTACCATTATTTCCCCACCTTTTGGATTCAATTTAATTAGCTTCAACAGTTAAAAAACATGCAATGATGCACATTTATAAAAATAACTTGAATTTGAACTCTCTGTCTTGCTCCATCAATCGAATTTGCTATTCAGGCATGTTCCCTCCCTTCTTCCTGTTTCTGGCTCTTTTTTCCTTGTGTTTAAGCTCTCTTTCCATCTTTGCCTTCCTCTCCTGCTGTTCGAAAAGCTGTTACTCGATGGTGCACAACATTAATGATGAAAATAGTCACCCTATCTTCTCGACACCAGAGGCATCCACAGGGAGCTAGCATGCTCTTACAACAATAACACATCTCTGCATTTATACGTGTGCTCGCTTCCCTTTCATTTGAAAAAGCCATGTTGAAATATAGCCCTGAGACATGTTCTGCTAAGAGCCCTGGTGGAGTGCACTTATTTCTTAAGCAGCCAAAGTTGAATGAGGGTGAGAGAGCGCATGCTGCCAGCATAATGGATGCTAAAGTAGGGTCCTCAGTGCCTGGGGCAACCTGGAGAGAAGGCATCCAGGCCTGGCGTAGGAACAACAAGGCTTGTCTCCTACAATAGAAACCTCTCTGATGGCTTATTAAGACATCTGATGGACTCTAGATGGCTATTTGCTGACTCACCGCTGCATTTCTGTTCTGTGGGCTCATGCATCACCTTCCTGTCAGGAGGATGGTGCAGGGCAGGCAGACGGGCACAACCCTGCCCTCCTCTTGTCCTCTCTTCTCCCTCTTTCATTTCTCCATTCATGTCCTCCTCTCATTCTGTCTCACAGCCCTCTGTGTTGTTGAAGCAGTCACCTGTTTAGCAAAGAGAGCTAATTGGCAGGAGATTGATGTAAATAGACTGAGGTGTCTCTCAGCGTTAAAGGAATACGTTTGGGAAGTTTTCCTTTTACCTGAAGCGTGAATCAAAAAGCACAGAGGAGCTGTACAGATTGGGAACAGGCAGATTTTTTATTTGAGATATTTAACTTGACATGACTTGACTTTTGAGCATGGCTCAATCTTTATTCTAGGTTAACATTGAATTTATATCTGTGTACAAATAAAGATAATGGTGTAAGAGTAGACCCAGATTTAGGTTGATTTCATGTCACTCTTTCAGGATCTCTTGAAATGGGCAGAAGAGACATAACAGAAATGTATTAATGTGATGCTAGGGAGAGGAGAGGGGGGGAGAGGAGATGTTGAGGTGCATGACACCAGAAAAAACTCCTTTTCTTACACGAGGGCTGGCTTGCAGCTGAAGAAACCCACTGTACTGTACCAGTGCACGGGCATATGCACACCAGTGCTGCAGTCAGGGCATCAATTTTGTATAGGAAATGGCTTTTTGAGGCAGCGCAGCAACGTCAGCTGTGCAGCACTTAGGCTAAGCGCGCCTCCCTCTCTCTCCCCCCTGTAACCGTGGGCTGAGGGGAGGAGGGTTCCGCCTTTTCCGTGCAATGGGGGAGAAGCGAGCGCTGGCAGCATTATCATGTCTGCCTCTGACTCCAGCGCCACAGGACTCATCTGTAACAAGGTACGCTGTTGATGCTCCCCTCTTTGTTTGATCACGCTGCATGCAAACTCAGTCTCTCCATTCCCCTGTCTGTCTGCTCTGAGACGTCTCCTCTCTTCTCTCTGTTCTTCTCATCTCCTCTCCCCTCTCACTCTTGTCTCAACAGAAGTCTATTCCTGTTCACTCACTTTGCCAGCATCTTCCCACTTTTCCCTCTGTCTGATTATCTTCTCTTGGCTCACTTTACTGAAAACAAACAGTTAGTCTACCCATCTCAACTCTGTATAGACTACTTTACAGCTTTGCATTGAACTTGTTCCTGACTAAGAAGACCATCTGTTGAATGTCATTGAGTTTGTCTCGGTTTTTTATTAGTCTTATCTCATGTCTTTGTATGAAGTCTTTCCTACCTCTCAATATTGAGGTTGAGCCCAGACATCTGTGAGTAAGTTTGCTTTGTCAGTTTCAGGATGACACATTGGGTGTGCAACAGTCTCTTGGAGACCACAAGTTTAAACAACATTTAAAGAGATCATTAAGCAAATGGATAAGGCACAATATCCACAGTCAAGTGCAAATAATGAAGTCTATTTTTCTTATGAAAATCCCTATTTGTGTGCCATCTAGCAGGTCAGCAAGAACACGTGGGGAAACACGTGTACTAAAATGACTGTGACCTGAGAAGGAACCCACTTATTGAGCTGTTACTGACGACTCATAATACAGCACAGGACAAAACTGTGGAGTTTGTCGAAAATATTAACATTGGAAGCACCTTAGAGAGTATGGTAACAATTTCAACATTGACCATACAGGAATGGGTGGAAACTTTTAAAATACAATTGATGAAAAGGTGAATTAACCAGGAGTTTTTGGTTAATTATACTGTTAAGAGGGTCTTCTTTTCCACATTAGTTTTAGTCTCTGTTCTGTTGGCTGGTGAGTTGAAACACCAAGGTGCACATCTAGAGAAATACAAAATAACAAAGAGTCTGAAATCTCTGACTGGAAATGGCTTTGAAAGCACTAAGGGACGTGAGGTGACTTTCTACTTAGTGATGAGCTGTAATGTGGGAATATAAGGCTTTTAGCACACAGTTGAAAGGCACTAAGGAAAAGAGAAAATGAGATGCAGATGCCTTATCATTTAAGATTATGTAAAACTTACCACACAACTTAGAAAATATGTTACACAATGTAACAAGTAATAAGAAATTTGTGACTATTCTATCCCGTTTTGCTTTGAAAGCTCCAACAGTTAACTTCATGTCAGTAGTGGGCCATCAGGGAGCAGCACACTTTAGTGGGGACAAAATATTCTAGGACTAATGGCTTTGAGAACATTATGGTTCAATATGAAAATGTGGTGTGCTTAATATCTGGTTCTCTGCATCTGCCATTGGATTTTCTGCAGGATTTGCACAAGCCAAAAAACAGAGAGCAAAGATAATGAGCTAAGCATTTTGTACAATTGAAAGTCTTTGGGACTCAGTGTGATGCTTTGACAAAGGATTTTGGGATCGGGACGTCAGCAAAGAGAAAAACACTGGCAGTCCTGTGATTCAACCTTAGCGAATTGTGTTTTTAGTTTTCTCTAATCTGTCATATTTTATCCACGCAGGAATATTTCATACTGCTGTTGTCTCTCTTCATCACATCAAAATAACATACATTTGCAATATCATACAAATGTAGTGGCGAGGACAATTTATAGATACTTTATGTTGTGCTAAAGAGACACACTCCTTCTGTCTGCATCCCTTGTTTCTCCTGGACACTCTTTAGGTTCTGCTCCACCTCGATAGCTTTATAGGAAAAAAGCCAACAAGGGAGGGGAGTTTTGTAGAAGAGGGAGGATGAGACAGGTATGGGGGAAACGAGGTCGAAGAAGAATGATGTCTTTTTTGAGCTATATTTATCTCATGTTGGTGCTCTTGTCTGGTATGTAAGGAGGGATCCAGCCCCGCACCCTGCTGGGACAGCACCCTGCGGGGGGGGGAAGTGAAGGGTGCTGATGGGGTGAGAGGACAAATGTAGTGAGGTTAGCTTTGTGAGAGTTTCATCAGTCTGGAAGTTTAGAGGGTAGAAGGTTCTGTATCTGTCAGTACTGTGAATGTGCTGACTATTTACTTTACTCTCTTTTAAAGTGTAACATAAGAGACAGATGTTTTTTCTGTTATTTGGTGATTTGACTTGAAATATTAGAAGTGAGAGTAGAGCTACGAGCCACATGCTCTAATGCTTTTTTGGGAATGTTATTGAAAAAATGTAGATTTGTGTTTTTTTTTTATGTATTCTCTCCAAACTAAAATGTCCATGCAAAATGTTCTGATAGTGTTGTTCTATAGTACGTCCACTGATCGAAAGGCAGTTGAACTACATCTGCTATCAATTATCGCTCTCATATGCAAGTTTGTTACCACAAGTTAAAACTTTTAATTACTTGGATAATTAATATATCCTTTACATTACGAATGTCTACTTACATATAACATACACATCGGAATGTGTTTTTTATTGAATTTAAAATGTGTTGACTTTCAAATAACATACACTTTTTCTTGTGTAGTGACTCAACCCCACCAGACAGTTTGTTAAAATGGCACGCTCTGGAGTCAATTGATAAACAATAGATTTAAATAGTTGTTTTATCAAGTTTTACTTGTCAGTTGTGTTTTTTCCTTTGTTGAGGACACTGGGCGTTTGCCAACATCTGGTTCACCTGGCTGAGTGGATAAATAGACTCCAAGCACTGTGCTGGTTGTTGGTGTTGTTGCAGAACTCAGGCACAGGTTCCCCTGAGACATCTGCTTTGGAAAGCTGCAGGAACTCACTGGTCCTGGCAGGCCGGGTCACATGGCTTCAGGACGACAGGCTGGTTCAGAGACAGGTTAAACCAAGAGAAAGTAGCAACAGCTGCTACGAGGTGTTGGGTATGGTATCCTGTTGGATTTATCTCCTCTCTGCCCGGGCTGTAACAGTTATTCTCCCCTCCTTTCTCTCAGGGTTCAGCCGATTCCTACACTAGTCGACCCTCGGATTCCGACCTGTCCCTGGAGGAGGACCAGGAGGCGTCTCGGCGTGAAGCCGAGCGCCAGGCTCAGCTGCAGCTGGAGAGAGCCAAGGTGAGAGCCTGAGGGACGAAGGTCAATGATCTACTTTAAATTCACCTTCAATTCCTGAGAAGCAGTCTGTAAACAGCTGCGTCATGTTAAAATGAAAACCTTTATTGCCCCAAGGGGAATTTGCTTTGCACAGACAGCACAAAATAGTACCAAAAACTTTAACAACCATCTATAACATATCACAGCCTAATATAACATTCAAAAGAAACATGAGTACCAAACATTTTCTTTGCAAAACATAATTTAAAAAACAAATAAAGTACGTACTGTACATACTTAGGACTTTGTGGACTTTCAACACACTGATTTAATCCGGTTGTATATTTATAAAGATCTATAGACCCTAATCTGTGATACTGGGCAACATAAAAAGATGACTTCACTTCAGTTATCTATAGAGGTCAAATTAATCTTCAAACGAAATATATTGGTGCCCTTTATGTTGTGTGTCTACAATAAATCTCAAGAGGAAATACAAATACAGGGAAGGTACAAGTTTGATAACATAAGTATAGATTAGAAAAGGTGCAACAAATATATCAAGAAGATACTGTACAAAATGCTATAACAAATGTATACAGTATGACAGTTTAGTGCAGCATGTGCAAGAATAATGAAAGCGCAATGATACTGTAGATGCTCGTTGTTTAACCTTCTTTTCTTCTGTAAACAGGCCAAACCAGTAGCATTTGCAGTGAAAACCAATGTGAGTTACTGCGGAGCCCTTGATGAAGACTGTCCGGTCCAAGGGGCTGCTATTAACTTTGAAACCAAAGACTTCCTGCACATAAAAGAGGTGAGAGGCCTTCTGCAAATAAAGACCTTTATTATGAATGATTTTGCAGCATGACACTTGATTTATAAAATATGTTTTTGACTATCATGCAGAAATACAACAATGATTGGTGGATTGGTCGGCTGGTGAAGGAAGGGGCAGACATCACCTTCATCCCCAGCCCGGTGAAACTAGAAGCCATGAGGATAAAGCAGGAGCAGAAAGCAGCAGCGAGGTCAGGAGTCTCTACGTGTCTCTGCCTCTCTGTGTTTCCACCAGCTTCCTGTCTCACAAACTCTTTGAAAACTTTTTTTGTTTGTTGACGTAACTTGTTCCTGCTCATGTGTTACTCTGTTTTGGAAGTCTAAATTGCCTCCTGAGGGGATTCTCGCATAATGAAGCTTTGCATTATGTTGCTCCGCAGGAAAGGAGGGAACGCTTCATCTGGAGGCTGGAGGTCAACCCCGCCGTCTGCAGGTACGTGAGGCCGGAGGAGTCCTGTTGCTGTGTCTGCTCCTTCTCTTCTGGGACTGCATGCTCTTATGGGGTTAGACCTAGAGTACATACAGGGCTTTTCCAATGCTAAAATGTTCCCTTTTAGTAGAAATGTGTGTGTTTGGAAACATTGTTTGCCTTTTTACATGAAAATAAGCTTACAATAATTATGTGAGATGGCCACGGAATTGTGATCAACCTTGCAAAATTACACTTAAAAAGCGCACACATTGCTTCACTGCAGCATGGCATGCATGTTTTCTCTTAAATAACCTAAATACTCATATATGTCCAACTCAAATAATTATTTATTTCCACTTATTAGCTTTTGTCAATCTTGTTTAATGTTCGTTTTGTTTATTCTGAAAGCCAAACAGAAGCAGAAGCAGGTATGTTCTTCATTGGGCCTCTTCCTTTTCTCTTTATTATTTAAGAACAACCTTAATTATATTGCTACACTTCATGCATATCAGTGCATTTCTATGGCTATCTACATGCAGAGTGGCTACTATGTGCTAACTAAATGTGTGTGTTATAATAGTAAATTCACTTCAACAATGTGCCTCCAAACCCTGTCTGTGCTTGTGGCCTGTGCAGACTGAACATGTTCCTCCATATGATGTGGTCCCTTCTATGCGGCCTGTGGTGCTGGTTGGTCCTTCGCTGAAAGGCTATGAGGTGAGGCAAACATCAAAATGCTTTGTAGTTTGGTTGGCTTATTCAAGTCTTGTCTTGGTGATTGGAGTAAAAACCTTGATGGATCAGCTAACACTGGACCATATTTCTGTCAGTCACTGTGTCTCTCTTCATACTGAGGGTATTAAAGTAGAATTTAAAAAATGGTACACGTAATGCTTTCAATGAACAATGAATCCTACTCTCACTTTTCTTCACTATTAAATTGCCTTTATCTGTTCTCTATGACAGCTTTAAGGTGGATTTCTATTAAATTTGGCTCGCACATTTTGTTCCCCTGAGGGTGAATTCCTATCATTTTGGTGATCCCCTGATGTTTCCGCTAGAACCATCGTCAGGTCATCATTTACATTTTTCCGAAATTTGGGTTACGACCAAAAACCTACTAAACTATACCCAGTCTATTTTCATGCTAGCACACTACACTAACATGGTAAACATGTTAAATATTATGTTTAACAGGCATGATAGCATTTCACTAATAGCATTCGCCTTAGTACATCCTCACAGATGCTAATCTATCACTTTCTGCTGTGGTAATTTAAGGTTCCCTTTTTTTGTTGTATACAGTTTGATTATTGTTTAAGCCATAGATGTGATATGTCAGTGTTTAGACTCGGTCTTGTTTGGCCTGTCAATGTTTGCTCCAGTTTAATCTGAACTGTATTGTCTGGTCCAGTATGGTCTTGCCTGGTTTGATCTTAAGGGAATCACTCTCGCCTCCATTATCCCATTAACACTGATACTAAACCCCGCAGTCACATCCCGATGGAATTATAGCACACACCAGGAATCTAAGACTCATTTTGATTCATACGGAGCAGCATGCATGTCCTTTTATTCTAGCTACTGTGTGTTATATTCTCCTATGCTGCACACATGCGAGATAAGATGAAAACACATTGCGTTTCAACTCGATTAATTTGAGAATATGTCAATTTCCAATGACTCTGTGGATGAATGCTGAAATGTGAGGCGTGTAATTGAACAGAATGTCTCTGCGCTTTAACATTTTCCTTCTCCCTCGCTCTCTCCTCTGTGAATTCGCAGGCTGTGTGCCAAGCCGTTTGTTTTGTGTGTGTGAAATATTTATGCATTGCTCTGGTGATGTGCTTTGGGGATGCTCCAATGGTGAACGCCAGCCTTCCTCCCTCTCTCTTCCCCTCTCGTTCTCTTTTTTCTCTGCTTTGTCTCTTGTGCATGGTATTATTTTTAGTTGCTCACCATTGCTTTCTCTCTCTTGCACTCATTTCCCCCTCTCATTGCCTTTCCTCCAGCTCTCTGTTACATCGTGAAGGGAGACACCACTGTGAGCTTCATCCCCTATTCTGAAGGCCATACATTTTTCAGAACTCTTTGAAAATAGACTGCTTAACTTATCATCTGCAGAGAGCACACACGCACGCACGCACACACACACACCTAACTATTTCTCTCCATGTCATCTGTAACGATCCTTTCCTCACACGTTTGAAGACATATGAACTACATCAATAAATTAAATGCTCTGACAAAAAAAGGGAAAATATCTGGTATCTATGAGGGTCGCAGGCCAGAACATGACATCTGTAACGATGACATACTCTTGACACTAAAATGTTGGTTAAAAGCAGATACATGTTTCTATAAGTCACCATATTTCGCCAAATATAAATATTACTCTTGACACTAAAATGTTGGTTAAAAGCAGATATAAGTAACTGAGTAATGAGAAAAAAGACTACGAGCACTGTTGGTATAAACAGACAATGGACTCAAGTATCTGTATCAAAGTACTGAAGAGTGGTCTAAAAAAAAGGAATGAGCTGTGGCTGGACAGCTGACTAATACAGATAAAGGGGGCACACAGACCAATGAGAGGAGGGAGACAATGAGTCAGGTGACAACAGGACTCATTTGGGACAGGTGAAAGCAATCATGGCAGGGCAGCCAATCACATCTGCGGGAAACACAAGTATTTAAAACAAGAGTCAAAGTTGAATATAAAAACATTACAGGAAAAAATAGGTAACATCTGGAAACATTGGAGGAGAGACAGAACCTTTACTCCTGTTTTGGGTGCTCATTCTGAGAAACTTATAATTGAGATCAATAAGGGGACTTAAACAAACGTTTTACCAAGATTAAAAGGGAGTGAGTGATATGAATGTGTGTTTGTATTTTGTCTTGTATCTCAAGTCTTTTACCTTCTCTTCCCTTTTTCTCTCCCATCTGTCCCCTAGGTAACAGACATGATGCAGAAAGCCTTGTTTGACTTCCTAAAGCACAGATTTGATGGCAGGTGGGTACGGCTGTCTGTGTTGCTCTTCTTCAGCTGCAGCTCAGTGTACAGTAACACTGTGACCGAGCTACAGCGTTGTCCGTGGGATTATCACGTTTCATGGTCAATAGGACACATGGTGATGACGATTTATTTTAAGCTGTAAGAGAGCACAAGTTCATCTCATCCTTTGAAACTGAACATTTGTGGATGTGATGTGATAAGACGGTTCTTCTGCAGGATCTCTATTACACGGGTGACTGCTGATCTGTCGCTGGCGAAGCGCTCGGTGCTGAACAAGAAGGCCATAATGGAGAGATCCAACACACGCTCCAGTCTAGGTGAGTGACAAGACAGTTGTCTTAGATCTTCTTTCTGCTAAATAAAGATTAATACCTGCTAAGAATAGATGCATCCTCTGTCTTTAATGCCAAGTCAACACTGAACTGATGTTGCTCTGTTAAGCATGTCTCACATAACTCCTCGTCTTCCTTTGGTTTGTTGACAGCTGAGGTGCAGAGTGAGATAGAGAGGATCTTCGAGCTGGCCAAGTCTCTTCAGCTGGTCGTCCTGGATGCTGACACTATCAATCACCCCGCACAACTCCTCAAAACCTCTCTCGCTCCCATCATCGTCTATGTCAAAGTCTCCTCCCCTAAAGTAAAGCACAACCCACTTGAACTTCAAAAATCGTGTTTTTCCTTTGCAGTTGTTTTTTTAAAATGTATTATTAAAGTTAGAGCTGAAACAGTGTGATTATAGATAACCTCATTAACACCACAAACGTTTTGATAATTGATTTTACTCTATACTGAATGTATTTGGGTTTACACAAATGACAATACAATTAACAATGACATTTTGTATTGGCTTATGATGCCGGGTTAGTGTAGAAAGAAGATTACGTTCAGATTTCATAAGGAATGCCATGATGCTCTCCCTGGTATGACAAAATTGAAGAAGAAAATGAGGGAAATTGAATCACAACGTGCATTGGAAAAGCTTTATTACTTGGGTTTCTCTTTTTTCATACTGCTTGACTGTCTTTGTCTCTTGCTCATCTCACAGGTCCTTCAGAGGCTGATCAAATCTCGAGGGAAGTCACAAAGCAAACACCTCAACGTCCAGATGATGGCAGGAGACAAGCTCGCACAGTGTCCACCTGTATGTCACTCTGCCTTAAAGTCATTATGTACTTCCAATGCTCAGACAGGCTTTTCCATACATCCTTCATACAGCGATCTTTAATAGACACAGAGGGGTGTGACTCATCTCTCATATCTCTTTCTTTCACTCATTAGGAGATGTTTGATGTCATCCTGGATGAGAATCAGCTGGAGGATGCATGTGAACACCTGGCAGAGTACCTGGACATTTACTGGCGTGCTACGCATCTCCCCAGTGCTGCCCCTGTTAACCCTTTACTGGACCAAAGTGTGGTCACCCCCCCCTCAGCTAACTCCAGCCAACAGGTAGCACAAACACACAACTGATGCTTTATTATCATTTTAACTGCATTATTAACCCCAACGTTTCTGCCTCCTGTGTCCTTTCACTAGTTTTCTGAGACTCAAGAGTTGATAGAATGATCACTACCACAGATATAGGTGAGAAAACCTGATTCTCTTTCTTACTTTGGCGAGCTTGAATCTTTTGCTACTGGTTTGTGGTACCGTTTTCTCTGGTGAAATGCTTCCTCTGCTTCACTGCAGGAAGCCTGTGCTGTCGGCTGGGGTCAGACTAGAAGGTCATAGAGCACAGGGACCGGGCGCCACCAGGGGGCAGCAGCAGCCCTCATCTCTCCAAAACAAGCCATCACCTTCTCTGGTCACACCTGGAGAGAAGAAGAGACCAAGAGGAGAGTCCCTCCGGAGAGAAAGAGCAGGAGGCTGGTGAGCTGCAGGAAGAGGAGACACAACAAGATGAAGAGGAGAAGGAGGAGGAGGAAGCTTCAAGAGAGGAGCCTGCACCTCACTGCTGCCCCCTCGCGAAGAACTCCCTGCTCCAACCGCGAGGCAACAACTCAGGGCTGCTTCCTACAGCTGCACAAGTGCTGGCAACAAAAACCAGTACAGAAGTGCAGCCACTGCACACATCCTCTCCTCACCCTTCCTCCCACCCTGACCTTGTTCTTAACTCCTTGCTTTCACTCTGGAGGTCACAAACCCCCACCTGGCAGAGCTGAGCCAGCCCATGTGTGATCAGGGCTGCACCGGACACACATGGGCTAATTCAGCTCTCAATGTAGACAAATAACCCCTCAGTGAAGGCAGAGTATGTCAGCATACAGAACCGTAGCATAGCAACGCTATCAGTAACACAAAATACAAACAAGAGTAGCTTCCCGTTCCCAAGGTTTCCTCTCTAGCCAGAGTGCAGAGAGTGACAGAAAATCAAGTTTGTATGTCCTCTATTTCTACAGCTCGCTGTGAGCTGTCATTCCAGTTTAACCAAATAATTCCTCAAAGGCAAACTTGAGTCATGATGGACTCACCTGTGTTGGGACTCCAAGGAAATGAAAATGTTCCTCTTCCTTTTTATTATGTAGCCTTTTTAAATGATTTTTGTTTTTACAGTAACAATCTTTACTTCTATCTGTAACTCGGTGTAGCTGATCACATATCTGTACAGTACGCAACAGTGATGCAAAACTCATGCATGATAAGCACATACTTGCACATCAGCAGAATATATATGCATCTTTTGTCACAGCTGTGAATGTATAAATGCTGGTCCATTGTCTAAAAAAGGATTATTTACAATAACTGTGGTTTGTTTGCAGATGTTTGTTTCTAAATAGAAAGGAAATCAACCATGATAAACTGTGGTTATTGTCATATATGAATATATTTTAACCCTTAGAAATTTAAATTCTTCTTTATGAAGAATTTAACCAACCCAGTCATGTAATTCTTAGCTAAATTTAAATACTGGATATTTACTGATGTTAAACATGTGTTGGTTTCCTCCAGAAAAGAAGGACAGAGGCATTGTAACAGTCACAGACTTTCAGTTCTAGCACACCTGATATTTATTACTAAAGCAAAACAATGATTCGGTCCTTGTTTTGGGGAAACCATACTTCTAACTCCAGATGACTTCAATTGTGTTTTGGGAACAGAAATTGCCATTGGCTGTTTTTAAAATTCATATTTCTCTTGCAGACTTAAAAACACATTGAGTCACGTAACTGTATGATTTCCAAAGACAATAGATGTATATATTAATAGCAAATGTTACTTCAGCATGTGTGCTGAATTAAATTCTTGGTGATTCTAGCACTAAATTAAACATCACTACAGTCAGAAACATATCCTCTCCATATCTCCACATTTTACCACATCAGTGGTGTCATTAACATTTCACACTCCACTGCTACTCAGTGGTGTAGTGAAGGAGTGGATGGATTATATCAATGAAGCATCAGAATTATTAACTCATTATATTTTATTACAGCTCGACATGTGTGCAGCTGGCCGATAAGTTTATGGAAGGTGACCTCTAGTGGTAAAGATGTGTTATTTCTCAAGCCTCTCAAACTGAGATATAAATTATGCTTCCACATTAATTAAGAATATTTACAAAAACGAGTTAATTGTCTTTGCTGTAAACACTAACAGCGTAATGCAAAAATATAATTTGTTTTTCTTCACGCTATTGCACTTCATTTCATATCTTATACTCCCAAAAAGTACTGCATCTCCACATTAATCACATCTATTCCCTCCACAAGTACATCTGCTTTTCCATATACAACTATAGTTTCAGCACATATGTAAATAATCTAATGTATGTGCATGGCAAATTGTATTCTTGTTTCATCTGGAGGGCTTTTTAGGACCATCGTTACACAAGCCATTCAGTCTTCAGAGTAAACAAACATGATCTACATAACCAGTCACATGTATCCAGGCTTAATTGTACATACTGTACATTCAATATGCATATATTCTTATTGATATTATCAAATTGCACAGAAATAACAGATGCTGACAGGAAGTAAAGGTTTTAGTCACACGGTACACAGTTCTATAATCAACGCCTCAGAAAGCATGTGTTTTTATGTATTTTCCTCTCTTTTAAGAATGATGCACTGCAGTTATTTTGGACCACAGTGAAGTCTGCTTCCACTGGCACCCATATTCATTTCTGAAGGACAAGGTTTGAGGTACATAAAGTCTACTTGTTGAAACACAAAGAGCAAACTGATATATAAGAAAACAAATCAGCTCCTCATATTTGTTTAATTTCTATTGCAGGATATTTCTATCAAAGGTGATTTATTCTTTGGATGTCCAAAGCACAATTTTTTACAACTATCATTTCCTATTGTGTTTCACCTGCCTAAATTCTGTATGCAATACAAAGTCTAGCATTGACGAGACACTAGCTGAGACTATCAAGGTATCTCCTCAGTTATGATGGGGTATAATTGCACTATTATTATTTATATGTCTGCTTTACAATGCAATAAATGCACTGAACGTTATGCTGTACCCTCCACCAATAGTGAACAAGTTTTCTGGTCTGATGACGATGTCAACATTTCTCGTGGTTTCTGACTAGATAAATGATATCCAACAATGTCTGATGATGATGTGTACAGGGTGCGTCTTTTGTCTAGCACATTTGAAAGAGGGGGTGAATAAAACACAACATTTAAGTAACAATTTCTTGGTGTGGTGTTTTTATTTCTCCTTGGAAGGAGAAGAATGGGATACCTTTAAAGTGCTAAATTAAAGTAAGGCTTTTTCTTTTGAAAAACTGACCAACAGGGGGCAGAAGTGTCACATCTGTACCTGCAGGTAGTGTGATGCTGTGGAATAATCAGCTAAACCAGAAATACTAAACTGTGATAAATTGTCTTTTAAATCTGCTATTCAAAGGGTCAGTTCATCCAAACAAAAACACATTCCTCAGTTATCTCGAGTGTAATGCACCACGTTTTTTGGTTTATGTAGCAAGGTTTTGCTGTTACACTGAACACAAACAAACACATTTTAGAGTAGACTGTCATTGTGACCAGTTCAATGCTTACTTGTGTAATAATCATGCTAATCAGCCTCTTATATGTTGCAAGTTGGATGGATTGTCTTGGCAAAGGAGCAGTGCTCATTTACAGTGATGTGTGTCAAACAATTGAGAGAAAGCCAAATCAGAATCAGAAACTGTTTCATTGCCAAGTAGGTTAACACATTTGAGGAATGTGTCTTGGTGTACATGGTGCATACAGAAACACAGAAAAACAAAAGTAAGAAGAAGAAATTACAATTAAATTGGGATTTGGATTGATTTACTCTTTAAGTGTGTCCCGATAAATGGTTTTACACTTACTTTCTTGCCAAAGGTACTTAGAATCTGTTGCTCTATTTCACAATTTGGTTAGGTCTTTAGTTTCAATAATGACAAATCGCAACAGCGTACAATGTTATTTTAGAAATAAGTGTGCTTCCAGCTTTATGGCAAGACAAAGCCAGGTCTAGTTTGATGTTGAAGAACTTGACATGTCTGCACAGTGTCCCTAACCCCATCCGAACCCTTTGGGATGATCTGGATCACAGACCGGCCTTTTTGTTTAGTAACAGTGCTCGACCTCATGCTGTTGTGGCTGATGGAACCAAATCCCAGCAGCCCGGTTAAAAACATCACAGATACAATTAAGATGTGCTCCTGTGACATGTTTCAAGTCTCTGTAATCAGACCACACATGCTACATCACATGCATCGTACATTGAACCAGGGCCGTTTCTAGCTTTTTGGGGGCCCTATGCAAGAAGCTGTTTGGGGGCCCTAGTTTTGACAGTTTTTTAACTACAATGGGGGGGATTCCGAAGCCTTTAAGATTATCTGTGGAGATACATCAATCTGTTACACTTTAAAACAGGCTAATTTCACGAAAACCAAGCAATTGAAAATGACAAAAAATGATATTAAAAAGGTAAACAATAAGGCTCCTCTATGTCAATAAATGCAAGAGATGCAGCATTTTCTCAACAATGTTTTTTTTTTTACATTTTTCATCTTCCTCAGACGTCACTCATTGGCTGTTGATCGTTGGGCTGTCAGCCCATTTTTTGGGTATCCTTTTGTTGAACTGTCTGTTTAAAATTAATCGAAGCATCAGACAAAAAAAGCTTTTGAAAATAATATTATATTTTGATTTAGGTCAAAATATAATTTATTTGTAAACCTGAGTCAGTGCCCGTGCCTCACCAGCCATGAACCTCACTGCAGAAGCTTATATATAGACATCTAAGTTTTTTGTGCCCCACCACTTTTGTACATATAAAATGCCACTGGTGACAGCGCAGTTCCTTGGGGGGCTCCAGTGTTGCTCAGCAGCACATCAGACACGCTGCCCTGCAGTCTGACATACTGAGGTCTGCTGGTGAGGTAGTCTGTGATCCAGGTGGACAGAATACACATCATGAACACATATACTGTAGGCTTCAGAGGGCTGCAAATTACACTCCACCCTACTGATACTGTTGTTACAGAGGAACTAACATGACATAATCAACACCTTTGACTTACGGCCCATCCACACAGCAGCGTTAAAAAAATCTTCCAACGCTTCCAACGCTTCTGGCCATTGACTTTGAATGGGGTGACGTCACTTTGCCTCGCTTTTCGCCGAACTGCATTGTGGGGAAGCAAAGCGAAGATTTCCAGGATTTCCAGGATTTTCAGGATTCAAAAGTTGAGCAATGTTCAACTTTTGAAGCTGAGGTGGAAGCCTCAGCCAATCAAATCCTGTTTATGCAAATCTGACTGTACAAGCGCTTGC